TGTTCTGCATCTACATGATGAAGTATCTATAATGTATTAGAAGTTCGAAAGTCTTCCTGTTTTGCTAGGCCATTCAAATCATAGAATCACTGGATGGTTTGGGTTGGAAGGGCCCTTAAAGCTCATCCAGTTCCAACCCCTGCCACAGGCAGGGACCCCTTCCACTAGAGCAGCTTGCTCCAAGCCCCTGTGTCCAACCTGGCCTTGAACACTGCCAGGGATGGGGCAGCCACAGCTTCTCTGGGCACCCTGTGCCAGCGCCTCAGCACCCTCACAGGGAAGAGCTTCTGCCTAAGAGCTCATCTCAGTCTCCCCTCTGGCAGGTTAAAGCCATTCCCCTTGGCCTGTCCCTACAGGCCCTTGTCCCAAGCCCCTCTCCAGGTTTCCTGCAGCCCCTTCAGGCACTGGAGCTGCTCTCAGGTCTCCCCTTCAGGAGCCTTCTCCTCTCCAGGCTGACCCAGCCCAGCTCTCTCAGCGTGGCTCCAGAGCAGAGCTGCTCCAGCCCTTGGAACATCTCCGTGGCCTCCTCTGGACTCACTCCAACAGGTCCTTGTCCTTCTTATTTTGGGTCTCCGGAGCTCATGCACGACTGTGTGTGTGTGGGCTGGAGTGTATGTGTCTCATGAGACTAGAGACCACAGCTCTCTGAGTGCGGCCATCCAGCCAATTCCTTATCCAGAAATACTGATAGAGACCTAAACCTGTTGGCCCGTCTTGCATCTTCATCTTTTAGACCTGTTGATTTTAAAGACACATTGGGAAAGCGATTTCTTTCAGCTTCTATTCATCTGTGGTCTCTGAAAGGAGTATAGCACTTAATGAAACAGATAAAAACTCACATCAACTTTTTAATTTAAGAGTAGTTACATCATGCTAACAGCCATTACTTTGAGCTCAATTCACAACATCATATAAACATGTCACTGTGATGCACTATTCTTCCTGACAATATGAAAATACAGTGGGTAGCCTGGTATCCTTATTTTGCATAGCTGTTTTCCAGTATTTTTAACTAGGAACATTATAAAGATGTGCTCTTGGAAAACATTCAGATGTGTGTTTTATGTCCAGCTGATTAATAGTGGGCTCTACATCCGAGAGTAGAGAAGATGTGCTTAAGGTTGTGCTGCAATATTGCTTAGTCTTTATGAGTCCACGAAGTGTGGGCTGGAACAGAGGCCTTTCTCAATTGCCCTGTGACATTAGGAACCTCTGAAATAGTTTCTCCTCCCTAGTGAGGAACTAAAGCAGCTGCACTTCTTCAGATGGTTATATATTTATACTGATAGTGACATGGTTTAGTCGTGGATTTGGCAGTTCTGGGCTAACAGTTGGACTTGATGATCTTAAAGGTCTTTTCCAACCTCTTTATCCTATGTAAGCCATAAGAATATTTCAGGGCATAAATGATCATTATACAGATGATGACTGAGTGCTTCTCTCAATACAGAACTTACTACAGAATGATTTTTACAATATTAAATTTCCTCAGCTAGCACTGAAGTTCTCTAGTGAAACTCAAAATGAACATTACCAGAGAGCAGCAAATACATTGGGCTACCCTTTATTGTGCACTCTATTGACCAGATTTAATCAAGAATTGAGCACAATGTTATTGGCAGATACAGTCAACTTCAATGCAAGAGAAATGTCCTTTCTCACTTGGCCTTACTGTGTGGTTATGTGTAAGGACATTCAGGCTTTTCAATCTCTGTGAAGGAGAGTCTGTCTAAATTCTATGCATGTGTAAAAAGAGAAGAGGATCTTCTTTGGCTGTTCATTGAACAATAGTTTGTCCATTTCACATGATTTTAATGGGCAACAAGGCCAACTTTCACAGTATGATACACTCTAATAAATTTATTCTTTGGATTTTTCAGATCACTTGCCCTGTATTTTATTCCTTTTTCTAGGCTAAAAATTCTTAGGCAGAATTTTCATTGCATAGCAAATGGCTGATACTAAACTCACTACAAAGAGCGAAATGGGAATAATTTTCTAAAGCGACCCATGAACAGAGATGTCACAAAACCTGTACAGAACGTTGAAGGCTATAATAGTGTATCTGGCAGTATTGCAAGAAGTGACACGAAAGAGGCCAAACAGCTTTAAATGTGGGGCTTGCTGCATGTAATTGCAGTGAGAATGACCAAAGTTAGGTGCATCTCTGTAATACTTGTGGGCATACATCCAGTCTCTCTCTTTTAAGCATGATTTTCAGGAATTAATAATGCTTAACTGCTTAAAAATGTCTAAGAATGTTGACGTAGCATTGTGTCTTCAGTGCTGTTATATAAAGGTATCTGAGACAGAAGATTTTGGGTTAAAAAGCATGTTATATGCATATGAACTTTTGTCGTTTTGATCATGGAATTAATAGTGTATTTCCTCTGTTCGAGTCCCAACTCATTTACTACTGGTTTATAGACAATGAGGTAGTCAGTATTTGTGACTTGTGTCTTCTAGGAGATTATTTGGGACTGAAATGTTGACATCTGGTTATAATTTGAGAAAGAATGTAAAACTTTGTACTTGGGTTAGTTCTGAGGCCTGCACTGATTTGTACACGGTGTAGTAAAGGTAGTACGACAGAATGCAATTTTGCAGTGAATGTCTACAATTTCTATACTGGGGGGTTAGAATTGAGTGATCTTATGGTCCTTTCCAACCCTTACTATTCTATGATTATATATATAAATATCTAAAATATGTGCTTGTATGTGCAAGCATATGTGCAGTGATGTTTTCACATTTACATTGTATAGTTTGCTTATAAAATTGTTGCGTTTTAATTCTTTATGTTGCAGTTGACACTTTCTATGGCTTAGTTTATAAACCAGCTCAGTGTTCATTGACAAAGGTGAGATGAAAGGTAATTTTGGAATCCTACCCGTGCTGCATAGTACTGGCTTTTAATTCACTTGAGGGAAAAATTAGTACCAAAGCGTAACTGTATTGTTCAGCTCATGCGCTGTCGTCCTTTCAATTCTTTGTGCGTCCTGCATATTGCACATTAATGGCTTATCAGGTTTTCACATGCGTGGCATTCAAAATGAATTTGTGGTAACTAAAGCAGGCAATTAATTAGGTAAATGTGCATTCATCTTAATCATTTCAGAAGTTATTTAAAAAGAAAATTACGGTCTTATTGTGCAGGCCAGATTGGATGGAAGTGCCATATTTTGTTTGCTGCATCTACACTTGTGCTTTACGGTGGTTTGCTCTTTTCCATTAGAACCCCTTCCTAGGTTTATTTTTCTTTCCGTAACTGTGTGGCAGCTGATCTCACATTTATGCATTCAGTCAATTAGGATATGAGTCAGAATGGAAAGATACCTTCACTCTGAATTTAATAACATAAATTAAAAATCTGCAGAAGTAAAACCTTCAAACAGACCAAAACTCTTCCGTGTCAATTAAATTGACTTAGTGTGTGACTTTGCTGGCAGACTTTTTGATCTTCACAGGACATCCATATAGTATTTAATGCCTTATCCCTCTACACATGCACTGGGTGTTCTCTGATTAGGGAAAATCTTCAGGTTTTAAAGGACAAAAAAGCCTATTCCTGTGTGAGCACCATCCCTCTGAGTGTATGCATGTATGCATCTAGTGGAGCTCTAGCCTTTGGCTGTGTCCTTAGTATGAACATTTTTGTCTTCTGTGCTTTTCCTACAGCATTGGTATGGTATTCCTTGCTAGTTTTTGGTTTTAGATATCAAAGTCCATTTCTAAATTACACATGAGTAGGCAGTGATATAGTAAGTAAAGCTTATAAGGAATTTATTTCATTTTCTGCTTTTTAGAAATATCTTTATTCTTCTGCCTTGCTCACATTCCAGTGGAACATTCACTGTGACTATGTCTTTATTTTTGTTACTCCTAACATCTGCTACTTATTCTTTTCCATAGTGGTAGTTCCCCTCCACACTGAGAAATGTCCACGTTTTGCTGATAGGATCCTCCCTGCATAGTATGTGCAGTGTACAAACAGTTTGTCTCATCTGCAAAATACCAACTGTGTCTTACTAGTTGAGGTTTCTGTATCAGTCCGTTTGCTGATTCTTCTGTAACACAGAACAATCTTCCACATTGTAAGAGGAAACACTGCTTGCTGAAATGCAAAGAAATGAGCTACCTGTTTCTGAGATCACTAGTATGATGAAGGCTATGGTCCCAAAATCAAGAGTAGGAAACTCAAGAAATACAGCAGGTCATACCACATTTATTGCTGCATTCCTCTAGAAATACAATGCCAGGAAGCAGTATTTTAGATGCACTTTAATATATGTATGTTATCACATTTATTAAATGTGCCTCTTTATATATTCAATTTGTCAGTCCATGTGCGTAATGGTTGATTTTTTTTGCTATAAAGTGTATTTAGAAGTTAATTATTTTGACTTCTGTGGCTTGAATTCTGAAACATGTACAAGATAGATAGCCTTCAGCCGGAGTAGGGCCAGCAGTATCTGAGCCTTAATTACATGGTAAAAAGTGCTTGAAGTTCCTTTGTGTTAAAGATAAAATTAAAAAAAAAAAATACTAAATCCTTACAGCACAGGACATAGTGAACCAAAAAAAATCAAAAAAGCAGATGTATTTTAGTAGGAAATGGAAAGATAAATGTTGCTGCTATTATAACTTCAGATTTCAGAACAGAGACAAACAATTTCAATAGACTTTCATCTCCTGTAATCATTTATTTGAACTGTAGTTACCACTCAGATTGTAGCCTGTTTCTGTTCCAGGTTGTTCTCATGCCACATACAGAATGTGTTTTAACTCCCTCTTACATCTTGGCAAGCATTACTCATGAGACTACAAAGCCCTCTTCTGCAGCATGAATTCATCCATGTTCAAAGCTTGTGAAGGTAAGAGTCTAGTCTCTAATAAATTATGGTTTATCAAATAAAATGTGGTGGGGTTTCGATGTTGGATTCGACAGACTGCTGAGCACCGAGGATGTATAATACAGTACATCGTACTTTTGTTTTCAGGAATGCTGTGTGGTTTCAGATGCAAGGAACTGCTACTACAGGGTCCTTGACTTCAGTACTAACAAGATGAGATGTGCCCTTTGCTGGCAGGGTAGGTTAGTTCAGCCACTGAGCACTTTGGAGATGAGGGCATTGCCTCCTGTGCTCCTGCTCACCTTCCTCTGGGGTAGCTGGTGGCAGGGGAGAAGCTACTGTTGAGAGAGTACAGAAGCTGAGTGGTTCTTAGCCACCTTCCTGGGGCGTGGGAGCAGGGCATGCTTTGTAGCATCCTTACATACTGTTATAGCCATCAGGTCCTCCCTGTGAATGCTAGAAAACTGTCAGTTAAGTACAGTGTATTTCATGCTGATACAGAACTCTTTGAATTGGTATGCTTAGAAAATGTGAACTTACTTAAGGCCAGATGTACATATTTACTAAACATTCATTTATGTCAATAAATAGCTGTCAATAAATAAAACAGAGCCCTTATTTTGTCTTAAAACATTTACTTAACAATTTTGCATAGCACCCTGCAAACATTTTCAGCTAGTATTCCAAGTTCCTGTTATGTTTGGTGTGAACTTGCTGTAAATTAGAAGTCAAATTTCCCAACATGGTAATGAACAACACTCCCCCCCCCTCCCCCCCCCCCCAATTTCTGGTTAATTTGTGTTCTCTGCTGGTGCTCATAAATCAAAACACAAAGCCTAGATTTGGGAAGGGAGGCTCAAACTCATTTTGTGTCCTTTCTAAAGCAGTAACTGAAGCAGTGTGCCTATTTCTGTCACATCTTCATATGGTTTAACTGTACTTCTGCCACCTTGGACAACCAAATGCAAGGAAGACCAGAAATAGAAAGCTGACATGTTTTTGCTTCAGGGTCATTGTAACAGCAGGAGTTCTGGGAGAAGTCCAGTGAAGCTGCCTAATGAATCTCAGTGGAAGTGTACTAGGTAGGATGCTTCAGCATTTCTTTGTCTTCCCTTCCCCTCCATTTGCCAACACATTAATCCCTAGTAATCCACCTTTTTTCTTTTTTTTTCATTGATTTCAATGTTGGGAAACAAAACTGGGTTTAAATTTGCTATTGTCTTCACTGCTTTGATGCTGACTGTTGTTTAATATACTAGTGATTCAGTATTCTTGCTTCCTAATAGATGTAATCACGTTGAACTATCTCAAATGTGTTGTGAGATGTTGAAGTGTTATGCAGAGTAGATTAGACAAAAAGTGCTGGTAGCTCTTTTCCATGCACAGTTTTATGTGCTATTAAGTTTAGCAAGTTCCCTGTAATACTCTATTGATACTCTGACAGTGTGTGATATACCTCACAGTTTGTGAGACCATAAAGGGCAAGCGTATTGGAGAGTCTGTTGGCAATGATCACAAAATCATTCCATAGGATCTGAAAGTAATTGTTTGGCTGGACTGTGAATATACAAGAAAGTACTATGGACAGGAATCGGATTTCATCAATCGGAAACCAAGATTTCCACACAAACACGTTAACATGGATAGATCTTGTACCACTGAAACACGAGCAGCCAAAGCACTCTGTTTAATCATGGTTTTATTTTGTTTTGTAGTAATGGCTCCCAGCATTCAAATTGCTCCCTGTCATTTCTGTTTGCTAGGTGTCCCTTGCCTTTGCATCCGAGAGTACAGGCGGCACTGAAGTCAGGCAGATTTCAGCCTGGCTAACACTCGTGTTGATGTGCAGAGCAGGATGTAGCACAGCTCATGCTGCTGTGGTTAGCTTGGCTCTGCAAGAGTGACTGACTTGTCAGGGATTCATTAAAGAACATGTAAACTTTAAACCATGGAAGTGTGAGCATCAGGAAAACTTTATTGTCAGTCAGGAAAACCTTCAGGCTCTGAGGATGCGTAGAAAGCTGTCAGTCCAGAGGGGGTCGGTTTTATACAATCAATCCTGAACAGTAATGTACAAACCATCTATGATCTGGCAGTGTCAGACTGCTTAAAAGGGTTTTTCGGTGATCTCTATGCAGGGAAGACGAAACAGTTCGCATTGTACAAAAATCTGTGTTTGAGATGGATAAGCAGTCCCTTTTCCTTTGCCCACCTGCTTTTTAGCGGAGAAGGGAGGGGGGATTGTTGATCCAGCTATTCAAGCAAGGAGGAATTAAACAGTCCCTCAGTCTCGTGATTTCTGTCACCTTTACCTATGTAATATTGGAAGTGATACACAAGCCCGTGCCATGGTGAACTGCAACATTCCACCTCTGTCTGCAAGCGACTTGCTTCTGTGTCATGCGTTGTAGACGATTTAACTCACATTACTGCGCTTACGTGGCAGCTTTTTAGGAATACAAGTAGCCCCCAGGTATCTTAACACTACTGAGAGAAAGTGATTCTCTCCGGATCCCACGGGACTTGCACGTATCCAGGTACAAGCGTGGTTCCACAACTCTTCTGGCACGGGCCGTGGGCTGATGAAGCGGCAGGCACATTCCCACTGCAGCCACAGCCCAGCAAGGTTCCGCTCATGTTGGTTTCCGGTGCCCTGGATCAAAAGGCGGATTCTGAGCGTGGCCCATCCCTTGGCTTGGCAGAGCTGCCATTCCCCAGGGTGCCTGCGGTGTTTGAAGTGCATCTGCTCTGGTATTTTGCTTTCTGTCATGATAGAATCATAGTTAGGGTTGGAAAGGGCCTTAAGATCATCCAGCTAAATCATACATGAATGTTTCTGAATTCAGGGATTTGTTATAGAATCCTGTGCATGTTCTACCCTGGGACATGTGAACTGTAAGCTGTGGAAGTGTTAGCATCAGGAAAAGCTTATCAAATCTCTAACGTTAACAGAGATTGCTGCATGAAGTTGCTGCGTACAGTGCTCCATGCAGCACAGCCTCGGAAGAGCAACCGCAGAGTGATGTGTGGCTATGTGTATCTCGGACAGTATGTTTTATGTTAAAACGCGGCGAGAAGACTTTAAATCACTCTCAAAGAAAACCCAGTTTTTAAGATAGGCGAAGGCATCCGTCATTCTCCAGGACAGTGTAAGATGGCCTGATGCTACCCACCGCTGCCTTCATCAAACCCGTGAGCTTTCCCCTTGGTACTGGTTGTTCTTGGAAAACGCTTCAGAGACTTATGGGGTCGGACGCGTACCCCAGAGCGGGTCACCGGGGCTCGGCGGCGGCCGCTGCTCTGCTCCTGCAGAGCGATTGCCCCGCGAGGGGCTCTTCACGACAGCCTTTTGCTCTTCACCCTCACGCCAACGCCGCCCGTCGCTGTGCGGGGAGCGCTCGGTGCAGCCACGCGGTGCGGGGCGGTGCGGAGCGGAGCGGTGCGGTGGGGAGCGGTGGGGAGCGGCACCAAGCCCACCTGTGGCTCAATGGAGGCCTCGCACCGCTCCCGCCGCCGCGCTCACCCCCCTCAGCCCCGCCCTCGGCCCGGCCCTCCCGCTCCCGGCTCTCTCGCGGCCGCCCCCTAAAGGCAGTCGTGAGGCGGCGGTGCCCGCGCCGTGAGGGGGCGGCAGCGCCTCCCGCCGCGGCCGGCAGTGGGGCTGCGACCGAGCCCGGCTGCGGATCGCTCCTGCAGCTCCTCGCCTCGGCCTCGCTTTCCCCTCGCCCGGCCAGATGATGAACTTTCTGCGGCGCAGGCTCTCGGACAGCAGCTTCATCGCCAACCTGCCCAATGGCTACATGACCGACCTGCAGCGGCCGGAGCCGCAGCAGCCGCCCCCGCCGCCTCCCTCAGCATCTTCGGCCCCTGCCTCTGCCTCCCCGGCCGCCGAGCGCCGGCAGCCGCCGCAGCCGGCGCCTCCCCAGCAGCCGCCGCAGCAGCAGCCGCCGCCGCCGCAGCAGTCCACGGGCAGCAGCTTCTTCAGCTCCCTGTCCAACGCCGTGAAGCAGACGGCGGCCTCGGCCGGGCTGGTGGATGCCTCCTCCGCCGTCTCCTCGGTTACCGGCAGAAAGTTCAAGCTGCTCCTGGTCATCGACGAGCCGCACACGGACTGGTAGGTGCCCCCGCGCCGCTGCATGCCCCGCTGCGTCCTCCTCCTTCCGCCGTCCTTCCCCTCCCTCGCATTGCGGTCCCTCTCCCCGCCGGCACAGGGCTCCCTTCTCCGCGGCTGACGGTCCGTGCCCGCCGCCCGGCCTCGCTGAGGCGGCAGCCGAGGGCTGAGGCGAAGCGTTCCCGACCGGGGGATGGAGGGAAAACCGGCAAGCGCTGGAGCGCCTGGCTGGGGACGAAAAACGTTTTCCGTCAAAACGCTAAATAGAACGCATCCACCGCGCCCCAAACCCCCATAGCCTGTGTGCTCTAGCGAATTAAGCAACTCATGTATAGGTGCAGGTAGGCTTGAGGTGTCCTAGGCACGAATTTCCGTGTTGAACTGCGTGTGGTTGTAGCGTTACGTATGTTAATTCATATTGATGAGCGGGCTTGTTTTCATGCGGATCCCGCTGCTTCTGTTGCAGCGTCTGGAATGCGTGGTTGAGTGAAGGTCCTTGAGGATACTGAGGACCAGCTCTCAGTTTCGCCTTAGCCCTGAGAATTAGCGCCGTGAGGTTAATTAACACCGCAGGTTTGGGTCGGTGTGTGTGTTGTGGGGGGTGTTTTACTTCCACCATCACCATCAAAACTGAGGTTTAGAAAACCATGAAACTTGTATGTCAGCTCATTTCCTCCTGTGCCTGGCTGCTACCCGCAGGAGAGGTTGCACCGGTTTCAGTCGTGTTTATCACATTCGGCTCTGGTGGGGCTGTGTTGCACACGAAGAACGAGTACCTACTCCCTCACTCGCTTCCCTACACCCTGTGTTTTCACGTTAAGATGCGAGTCGTCTTTTATTTGCTGTTGCTAGTTGCAGTTCTTAATAGCGCCTCAAAATAATAGAGTAAAACAAGTATGTTTTATACCACTGACATCATGCAGTAATGGATTGTGGGTTTGTGATTTTATTGTCTTAGATTTACAGCCTTCCTGTCTAGATGGACTTGTGCAGATTGATTTGATACAATTTGCTTTGAAGTGGTACTTCAATAAAATACATGAGACAAAAATGTAAGCCTTTATAGGGAATATTGTATTAATGTTAAGATAATGTTATCTGGGTGGATGGTTTTTATGGTTTGGTTTTTTTTTCTTGTTGCCCCCCCCCCCCCCCCATGTTTGGTTTTGTGGTTGTTTTTTTATGTGTGTTTTTTCTTTTTTCGGGGGGGGGGGGGAAGGTGGTTGTATCTGCTGGCTTAAG